TGTCTACAGCTCTTTTAAATAGTATGCTTAACATACCAATTCACCTACTGAACAAAGGCTGAACCCTCTTTCTAAGAAGTACAGAAAAAGCTGAGGAGTTAAATCTTTCAGAATTGCTCAGCAGTGCGTTTTTGATATATGACTAGAGAGGTAATACCAGCATTATGTATTTTGGATGCAACTGAAATCCTAACTAGAATGGAGGGAGAGTAAGGAGAGAGAGAGAGAGAGAAGATGCTTGTTCTGAGGAAGTGAATAAGCGACTAAGCTAACTTTCAGCCAAAGTCTTTTTTACATTTCAAGTGACTGGTTCATTACCACACCAGGGTAAGGGCAAGATGCTCAATTACTGAGAATGACATACATACTTCCTTAGATACTTCTATATATGCCTACTTTGCAGGCTGTAGGCTGTCAGTGCAGCCCACAGCTGCAGTGGGAATCTGCCTGATGGCTGTGCAGGGCCCCCACGGCTCCCAGCTGCACCCAGCTGGCTCTGGCAGCAAGCACTGCCAAGACCAACAGGGCAGCAAGGGATCCCTCTGCCTCAGGTACATGGGCTGAGCACTGACAAGCTTCCTTCAAATGCTCAGTAGAGACCAGAGTAAACTACATGACAGCTGCTGCTATAGACTACGTGTGAGCCCATGGATATTGATGACAAGCTGTTTTTTTTAAGTCTTAATTAAGAGTATTTTTTTAATTGAGAAATGAGTTAAGGAATATAAAGCCTCATGTCTGAAAAATAAGAAGCCCACGTAAAGAAAGCATTTAGTAATCTAAAAAATTTCTTTTAAAATGTTATGTTTAAGTAAGTGGATAATAGTAAAAACAAAATTAGCAACTTTTCTGAATCATAAAATATTTAATAAGGTATACTTTGGGGGGGATATATTGTATATAAAATTTCAGATCACAATATGAAGCGATTTGAACCCTCTCCAAGCTAGCACTGCCTTCGATGCTGTGTAGATGTAGATGCCACTGATACAAGACCTACTAAAAGCATACAGTTTAACTAATACAGAAGTGGCATTTTTATATGAAATATTTTTTACACAACTAGAGTGTCCTGAATACCCTCCTTAAGTGCAAAAAACACAGATCACTTTACACTAATGCAGCAACAATGCATTCATATTGTTCTCATTAGTCATTAGTAGTCAACTTGCATAAGATACAAGAAAAGCACAATGAAGCTCACAAAAATAGACTAAAAATCAGCCTGTTCTTGCAAAAAGTACAGCATAATGGAAGAAAAAGACAAAAAAAGGATTATGCACACCACAGAATTTGCTGTTCTTTAACCCAGCTGGCTTAAGTGCTGTTTCTGGGTTTTTTTGCTGTTATTTTGTGGGTTTTTGGTTTGGTTTGGGTTTTTGTTTTTTTGTTCCTTTTTTTTTTTTTGGTAAATCAAACCACATGGACCAGGCACAACTAATATTCAGGAGGCAGTGTGTAGCTAAAACTTCACAAACTTTTTGTCATCCCCAAAATTTATTTTCCTCTGTCCTGAGGTAGTTACAAAAAAAAAAACCAAAACCAGCAACAACAACAACAAAACAACAAAAAAACCAAAACCAACAAATCATAAATTAAGCATCAGCTAGGCCAGTAAGAGCTGAGGCTTTCCTCTTTTTTTTCCCTCTTTAGAAACTATTTTTTTACTGGCCAAAACTACCCTTGATGTTAAAAGACATCCGAGAATTGGAGTTCTCACTACCCCAAAAAGATGGCTATGAGGGGAAGAGGGTTAGCTGCTTCAAAATGTGACAACATATTGAGTCCCATCAAGCTGGCTGGTCCACTGTTAAATTCCCATGTTTATTCTCCTTTACTGTCTATAAAGTCACTGGGAGAAGTACGGAAGGATCTGAGCACATCATCGTCCTTTACTGTAACCAGGGAAGAACTGGTCCAGCAGTGTCTGCAGTATCTTGTTGGGAACCATGGTGTAGCCCTTTCCCAGGTCATAGCGGCAGGCAGGGCAGGTGAAGACTTCAGCTCTGAAGGAGCGCTGTAAACAACTCTAGGACATACAAAGACAGGGAAGTAAATTGTGAGAACTTTGATTTAGACTGACAGCTTAACAAGCAAAAACTAAGCAATCACTATAAACCAAAGATGCAATCTGCTGTACTATCAGAAAAAAAAAATAAAAAAAAATCAATAATTTGATTTCCAAACCAATTCCTAGTATAATTCCACTGATCAAAGAGGAACAATGGCAATGGTAAACTTCACTCATTATGTCTATCAGGAACTATACTAAACATTCTTCCACTCTCTGTTACATAAAATTAATGTTACACAGCAATCACTGAATGCCAACTTGATACATGTTTTTGCTCAGAATTTTAGGCAATAATTATTGTCTTTCTAAAATACATATGGCTTTGGTGACTGGTGTCTGAGAGCCACAAAAACAGTCCAGAGCAAGACTGAGTTTATTCTTACTTTACAGACGTTGTGGAGGCACTCTGTTGTCACTGGCTGGTAAACCAGCTCCTGGCAGCAGACACACATAAAGGATTGTTCCAGTTTCTTCAGAAAATTCTAGTGTAGGCCAGAGGAATAAAAAAGACAAACTCTATTACAGTTCTCATAAATGACACTTCTACATAAAGATGATGAGCTTTCAGAAGTTCTTAAGTACTCCATATCCATGGGTGCGACTTTCTACAAGAAATCTGGAAGCAGGTCCAGAACGGCTTAATTTCCCTGCTGTTCCACAAATCACTAACTAATGAACTAATGTTTATTTACTTATTTGTATAAATACTGTTATAAACAAAATGAGACATACCAGATTCTTAGCATAGGTCAGAAAATTTTGTAATTGTGTTTAGTAACTACTACTAGAAATTTGCACGTCCCTGAAAGATCTCTCTTCTGTCAAGGGAACTTCTGCTAAGAAAGCCATGTTGGCACCTCCTCACGTGCTTATGGATTATGGCTAGCTTAATGGCTTCTTCTCTCCTCAGGCCAAATTCTCTGCAGTGCAGAAATCAGCCTCCTTGGGTTTTGAATCTTCTCAGGCCATCTCTGAGGAATCTCAAGATATATTTGTAGCAGGTGTTTTACACACACAAGCATGCTTATCTCTGGCATGTCAGTGGTCTCCAAATATATCAAGAATATAAGCTTAGGTAGAGAAAAAGAAAGCAGATCCATGGGTAATCAAAATTTAGTTCTTTGTAGTATTTTTTAAATACCAGATTTATCTTAAACCACATTTTATTTAGTTTAAAGGGAAGGTGATTGTTTTAAGCAGAAAGCTTTACATTTTCACAGTAGTGACCCAAAGCTGACAGTGATTCCCATTGCCTTTAGTGGCAACAAAAAGGAAATCTTACAAAAATTATAGGTAAGAATCTGTAGAAAAATGACTTCTCAGTAATTCAGTGGCTTTTAAATTACTGTTTTCTCCTTCTGAGATATCTCTATTGCCTGTCATCGTGCATGGTTTTAAGAGCTGAAATTCTTTCTAGTCGTTACAGACACTGGACAGAAAGACAGAAGACAGGTAACAGCAAATAACTTTACCAATTCCTACATAAAGGCAACTGCAGCAGCATTACAGCAAAACCTAGTGCTGTAAGTGAAAGAACAGGGAGTTACAGATGATTTTCTTGTTACAGAAGCACCATATATAGCCACTGCTAATTCTCAAATAAACCAATTATGCACGTTCATTTTTAGATATCCATTTTCCAACCAATGGTTTATTTTTCACTGGGTTGAGTTTTACCAAGTTACTTTCCTTTATTAGTGCCTTGATTTCTTCTGCAAAACAGCTAAAATAACGATGAACTTAACACTGGTAAGACTAGTTATCACTAAAAGATATATTTCAGGAGATATTTCTTTTGTGGACCTTTTTTATACTAGTGTCCAGAGTCTTTTCAATCTACTTTTGGTATTTTCTTGACTTTGAGGGAGAGGAAAATATTTACCTTCTTATTTAAGGTTCCATCTCTACAGAGTGGGATAATCTAGACTTGGATGAAAATATTTTCATTTCATACCTAATTTTGAAGATTATGGTACTTCTATCTTCTTAAACAAAGCAAGCTGTATTTTCTGGCATAAAATTATTTCTGTCTAAACAAAAAGTAGTGACTAGAATAATCTTTCTTCATGTCTGACTTCTCATATCAGCACAGCATAAAAATACACTGATAATATCAGAGAAAACATGCTCCCTTCAAAAATGAAAATAAAAAAAGCCACTTCTAACTACAATATGTTTTTGAGCAAGAAAATTATGCAGGTGTAAACCATGTCATCAACAGCAAATAGTACAAGCGAGGATTATTTTCTTGAAATCAAAGTCTTACAAATAAAAATAATGCTAGACACAGTCTGTATTCAGCACATGTTCAACATGCAAATCAGGTTTTAAGAGAGACTTGAGATTTCACTTAACAGTCTAAAGAAAAGGGAAACATTAAAAATTGTGCATGCAGCAAACATACTGGTCCTTCCTTAAGAGAAGCAAGTACTTCATCCCACAGCTTCTGGTTCATGCAGTCTTCTCTAATCAGCCATTGCTGCTCTTCGGTCAGCTGGAAAGCCTCTCCTTTCCCTCCATCTCCCATCCTCATGGCTTTCGGCGTATTTGTAGGTTCCTCTATACCTGCTTAAGATTATGACCACCAGACACAGTAACAACAGACTGTTAGTCTGAACTAGTAAAAGGGGAAGTAGAAGTAGAAGGCCAAAGCATGGATTACACTTATGAAATGAGACAATCAAATCCCTACTCCAACTCATACTGTTCAGGATTGTTTTGGACTGCAGCACACAGTTGCACACATGACTGTTCATTTTTCTACAGAGATTCAGAGAGAAAAAAAAAAAAGAGTAGCAAATAGGGTAAGATCCCTACACTGCTACTTAATTACAGAGCATGTGCTTATCAATTTACATTAGTATTCCAAATAATTTCACACTTCTGCAAATTTCTCATGTTACTGGCTTAATAAACGTAACATGACCCGACTTTGCTGATGAATGAGGGAGTGGAGCATCTCCCTTACGAGGAGTGGCTGAGGGAGCTGGGTCTCTTTAGCTTGGAGAAGAGGAGACTGAGGGGTGACCTCATTCATGTTTATAAATTTGTAAAGGGCGAGTGTCAGGAGGAAGGAGCCAGGCTCTTCTCGGTGACAGCCAATGACAGGACAAGGGGTAATGGGTGCAAGCTGGAGCATAGGAGGTTCAACCTGAACAGGAGGAAAAATTTTTTACTGTGAGGGTGACAGAGCACTGGACCAGGCTGCCCAGAGAGGTTGTGGAGTCTCCTTCTCTGGAGACATTCAAAACCCGCCTGGACGTGTTCCTGTGTGACCTAGTCTAGGTGATCCTGCTCTGGCAGGGGGGTTGGACTGGATGATCTTTCAAGGTCCCTTACAACTCCTAATATTCTGTGATTCTGTGAATGATAAAAAAGTAAAAAGAAATACCATCGTCAATTGTCCTTTTCTGGTTTCCGTTACTCTGGCTGGTTGGTTCCTGTTTCACAGTTTGCTTTTTAACCTTATCTTTCTTCTCCTTACTAGCCATGGCTTCCAAATAACCTTCTGGATACTAAAATAAAAATCACAGATTTAAAACAAATCCCACTGGCACACAGGAATTCCCAAATACCAACAAGACTAATTTCTATAAGACTTTAAAACCCTGTGAGACTACATGTTGAAATAACTTCAAAATAATTTTTAAAACCCTACATGATGAAGAAAACATTTAAATTAGTATCTACTATTAAGAGAGTGTAGTCAAGTCAAAGAATCTACTCCAGTCTGGATTGTATTAAAAGGAACTCAATGTCCCTATCTCTGCCCTTATAACTATAGAAATGAGTTAGGCAAAGTTGAAGATGATGGTATGCTCTAAGATATAGCATTGTCTTGCTGAGAAAAGAAACAGTATGTTAATTCTTTCCATCTTTCATGGATTCTGCAATGCCCAAGTCCTCATGGGCCAGTTTATTTCTGTGCTTGAAACACACTACCTATACAAACTCCTAAGTCACAAGGAGAGAATAATACATTAAAATGCACAGACTTTTCAATTTCTCAGACATACTCAGCTACAACAATATTCTTTTGTAGAAATTCTTTCCAGCCTAAGGATCACAAAACTAGATTCAAGCTCCTAATTTTCCAATCTGTATATGCAAAGCACTTCACTCCTAAGGCAGAAAGCTTCATCCACTGTTCCTTCTGCTGTGTCACTGCTACAGGATTCCTTCAGTCTGCAGATAACCTGCAGTGTATTTTGGCATTAAATTCTGCCACAGTGAAGTACAAAATCAAAAATGGGGCTTTAATTTAACTGATTTATTTTCTGGAATTTGATTACTGGAACTGAGAATAAAAACAACTCCGTGAGTCCTGATTCGAACCTGTACACTAAGACCCAGTTTCTTTGACCGCTCCATTCCTTCTGAAGTCCAAGGTGCAGGCTCCACATCATCTCTCCTCAGAAGATAGCGCCAAACTAAAAATCCACATTTTCCAATTTCTGGCCAATATTTCACCACCTAAAGAACAACTCAAAATTACCATCACTATTTTGTCACAAGCCAAGCACATGCATATAGTCATATTTTAACTGTTCAGGAAGAAATGAGAAGACTAAGTTATACATTACTATTCTACAGCAGCTCGTCCCTCAGGTTCGAAATTTTTATATTTTTGATAAATACAGTGCTCTTAAAAGGCACAAACCTTTATTTCAGATGCTGAGAAGTCATTAATCACACAAAAAAAGCTCACACAAAAAGAAAAGACTGAGGAAATAATTCGATTTCCAGCAATGAGTATGACTCAGTAAGCCCATATAAACTAGCTCACATATTCAACTTTACATATCCTATTATGTTTTATGTTCTCTTATCACTGCTCTGAATAATTTCATTTCAGTTCTTTGCAGAATAAGCTAAGGCTAAAAAGCTATCATCGGGGGAAAAAAATTTCTTTTAAGTAATAATGAAGAATTTGCAATGTAACGTGTATAAGACTTTTTAAAACAGTTGAAAAATGTTACACTGCACTCAGTAGAAATCAGAATACCTTGTAAATGCCATCATATCTGTTGCCTTCCTCTGGTGCATATTTGCTGATCCGCCGTCCTTTTGAACTACGCACTACTCTGACTGGCTTACCAGCTCTCCAGTTCTTAGACTCTGCTCCATTTTTGTCATCCAGTGGGGCATCACAGTTAAGGGCCAATGCCCTAGAAAGAGATTTAAAATATTCATAAACTAGATTGCTTCACACAACAACTTTTTGAGAATTAACATAATTAAGTCATATCTATTTCCCTTGTTTAAATATGCTTTATCAAGCAGCATAGAACTTTGCTGTATATTCTTTAACAAATGCAGAACTGTTGGAAGCAATGAGATCCATGCTACTGCATAAAGTAAGAAAAAAAAGGAACACAACTATTTTCTTGTCAAGGTTCCAGATGAAAATTCAAATTATACTGCTAAATCAAACAAACCAGTCCTTTTGGACTTAATATTCTTCATTTAAAAAAATAATGCCTTCCTAAACAGCATTGAGGGAATTAAAAGGAAAATTACAACAAAAGGCAAACTTTTTATATCAATATTAGCCATTACCTGCAGATTTTAAGTCTTTTTAAGTGTGGAAATTATCATAATGAATACAATGAAAAACGTTATAGAGAAAGAAGTACATAACAACCATCCAGAAAACCGAGTAACTGAAATCTCTCACATAATACATAAGTTGCCTCGGGATAGGAGTTATACAATAGCAGCTAACTCAAGAACAAGAAAATCCATTTATCCTACATAAAGCCATTTAACTACATGAAGACCATCTTCTAGAAACCTGGAGTCCAACTTCTAATTGTGTTTCCCAAAGCAAGTTCTCTATTTACTAAATATACTTGTAAAGCTATTGCTTAAACCTACTTCCACCTTCCTTCCCCTCCTTGTTCTTGTTCACATCACGTCCCCTCTCTTTTTCCCATCCTCCCTTCCTTTCCTTCTCAGCAGCAAAGTCAGGCTCTTTCTCTCTTTCCTTAATCAACAAAAATCTTGAAAGGATCTCTCTTCACTCTGCTTGACAGCACCAGATCATACCTAAAAACAGACCTGGCTAACAAAATATCTAGCACCCCACAGTGCTCAGTAGTACAACAGAGATTACGCTCTTTGAAACAGAAAAGGATGGAAAACTCTTTGTTCAGGTAGACTTTTAGCTGACGTAAAAACACTTTAAGCAGAGGTCTAATTGATCTTTTGGACACATTTCCTTTTTCAAGCACCTGGTTTTGATAAAGCAACACCCTAATTCCTTGTTTTTAATAGAAAACTATGATGAAAGAAAGAGCTAGCAAAACAGCTTCCTTTTAACACAGAAAAATGAACATGCTTTCTTCCTCCTTAAATTTCATAATTGATTTAACCACCGAAGAAGAAACTGAAGAAGAAACATCCAGAACAGAAAACTTCCACACAAGAGTTTTGCCAAACTTCTCATCAAATTCGAAGTGTCCTCTGAAGGAAATTGTAGGACAATTTCAACCAGTGATGTGACTACTAGCTGCATCAGCAATATCATAATTTATTTCATTGAGATGAAGTGTTTCTTTAAATCAACAAAACATTGGGCTTGATAAAATGCCTCTTAGCAGGAAAAGGCACCACTGTTTACAAAAGTAGCATGTACAAGAGTGAATGAATATAGCAAAATACTAGTTTTAAGTTACAGCACTACAACCCAGCTCTTTGGTTTGCAATACTTTTAATTTTATCTTCAAAACTTACCTATTCATGTGTGTTAATGTCTGATCAAATGAGTGTTCTCCAATCCTTTTATTGCCAGAAAGATCTCTCCCTCCACTGCCAGTGTAAGTGAATTCATCTCCTCGATCCTGTGCAAGAAGATTATCCTTTGCTTTAACACTCCAAAGTAAAGCAAATCAATTTTAAAAAGATGCTACTTCATTTGTTCTGTTTACTCAGAGAAGAACTATACTCCAAGGCATAGAGAAACATGTTTTCAATCTCAGCGTCACTGTCCTTCTACAGCAGTTGTGCCATCACAAAGCTACTGGTCTGAATATAACATATTAATCAGAAAATTCGTATTAAAAAACTGCCTGCCCTAAAAACTGGACTTTCACATCTTTTAAAAAGCTGTATTTTAAAAAAAAAAATCTGAGGAAGGAAACACATTTTAGAACGTGGTTAGTTGCTCTAAAGCTTTCATTTAATTTACAAGAATATCATGTTTGTAAAGTATATAATAAATACCTTGGAGGGATCACTTCAGCTTGTGCAAGGGGCTAAATGCTATTAAGTACAAACTGCTGTGCCTTATATACAAGGCAGGTGCTTTCACGCAATAATAAACCCAGCTCTTCTGAACTACTAAGAGCTTAAACTCATTTAGATTCTCATTTTGTAAGATGATACAATTCCGTAGTATATTTCCTACATAGAATTTTCTTTAAATTCAAAAAAGGTTGATAATCTTTTACCATGAACTGTAAAAACAGTCAAACTCTGCATACACATAATTAAAGCCATTATTACTATTTCTTCTAGGAAATATGTCACAAAAATTCATATTACTCATGGCAAACCCAAGTATTTCTAGAAAGATATGAATATAATTAATATGAGATCTCTTTGGAGATGCAAATTTTGTACAGAGCATGAAGCAATAGTAGAAGATAAATACTTATTAGGAAAATAATGTTTATATGAATTTTTATAACAAAAATCTGAACATACTTGTATGCAGTAGTAAAATTCAGTCAATTTCTTACCACTATTAAAAGTCTGACATTATTAAGGATCCAGTGCAAGACTGTTACAGATATTTCATGACTGACAACAGCAGAAAAAAAGAAAGTTAGAAAGAGAAATGCTGGTTGAACAAGGCCATAGATTATATGTTTATTTTATTCTGTGTAAGGAAAACATATTCAGCTACAATATTAGAGTATTTATTGTTCAAAATTTATCTAGACATAACGACAAGCAAGTGCTATAAAGTTAAAAAAACTCTCAAAACGTAACAAAGACATGTAGAAAATCTGGCATATCGTTTCTTAAAATGGTCTACTTATTCTGCTCAATGAATCTCTAAAAAATAACAGAAATAAAATGTTGTACAAGGACAATATATGAAACAACTTCAAAAGAATGAAAGATTGATAAGACAAGAACCATTTACTAAGAAAGGACATGAAATAAAGTGTATAAAAAAGAGATCACAGAATTGAGCCACGTTTATTTTTTAAGTATCTGTCAAGGCAAACAAAATGTGCAGATCACACAAAGATGATTGTGATAATGAGTAGGGATGAATTTGCTTGATGAGCCAGGCCCATTCAAACAAATTGCATTTTAACACTGAACAAGAAGCTTGTGCCAAGTTCAGGAAACCAGAAGGAATTATCTTGGAATGTGCCAAATCCAGAATGATTTAGGTTTCATGACAAAGAAGAAACTGAACACATGTTCATAGTGTGGCAGAGTGGGAAAAACTGCTAAGGCAGTTTTTTGATGTACAAGCAGAAACAAACAAACTGGAAGGTGATTTTTCCCTCTTTCTAGAACATAATGTTGAGACAAATACTGAAATAACATATAAGAATGTAAAAATAGAGGAAAAACAGAAACACTACATATGCAAGCAAAATGGAGAAAATTATTTACAAACTGCTTTGTTTATCAATAACTAGGTAGAGCAACGTTCAGAAGAAGAAAGTACTGAATAGACTTGGCATAACAGACAAACATAAATCAAGCACAAATCACTATACACTTAAGCCAAATAAACTCAAGCAAGAAGGCATAAAACGCAACAGTATTCATAATTAACTACTGGAATACACTTCTATGGAAAATGGGTTAAATGTAAAAGGGCTGAACCCATCAAACTTCCAATATCTTCAGAGAAAGACTGGGTGGTTCTCTGTATGGTACTCTTAATCACAGACAGCCAGAAGACACCGTGCTTAAAGAGATAGCATGGATATAAGACCTATGCACACATGCTCACCGAACAGATTCCACACATGATAGGTTATACTTGCTTCTCTTTCATTATCCAAGTGCTGTATGCATAAATAGGCAGAACTATATGGATCTGGTGGAAACTGGAAATCCAGGGGAAGGAAAATGGAGTAAAATTTAACAATTACAGAGCATAATTGGCACAGGTCAAATAAGAAGGGGCCATCTTTTAACACTGTCCAGCATAAGGAAGGCTCATTTCTGCTTCTGCTCTAGTTCCCAGAAGAACTTCACTCACTTATTTCACATCAGACATATTTAAAAAAAAAAAAAGTATTGCAGGGAACAAAGATAAACAGTTCCTGGAACTGAAGAAAATGACAGCGATCTTGCCACACAGGGCGCTGATCTAGACCAGATGAAGAGAAACGGAGAGCACATTTGAATCTCTGATATGAGAGCAACTCCTAAACATGGAGAGGAAGAAAGCTCAGGAGAATATGTAAGTGCTTGCAGAAATGAAAAATCTAGAATGGCAAGAGTAAGTGATGCACAGACACAGAGTCCTTAGAGTGGAGTAAATGTGGATATGAATACAGCCCATGACAAGTAGAAGTGAAATGGGGATACTGGTAGTATGGAGATCTAATGGGAGACCTACAGAAACTACTTTCATCAGATCCATGGCATTTTACTTTCAAAGGGGAATATGCCAGGAGCATTCACGCAGCCTATTATTTGGGATCTTTTGATGAGTACCAACTCCTTAAAACAGTTTCTCCACAGCTTTGAGTTGTAAGTCTTTCTATAGACAATGCAGGATCTTCCTACCACCTGTAACAATGTTCAAGGGATAGCCTGTATGTGACAGGTGAAGGTGGAAAAGTTTGTTGGTTTTTTTTTTTCTCAAAAGGATCAGAAAGCAGAGCTTAAGATACTGATACTGCTCTAAATTCTGCATTCAACAGTTAAAGAAAACATTTGGCAAAAGGACTTATTATTTTTTGCATGTTCTTCCTTAAGAAGCAAAATTACTGTCAAAAAGGCTATTAAAACAGTCTTATATTTTCCCTTCTCTCTTCCTTCTTCCTACCTTTTTCTTTTTTAAAATACGTATTTCTGCCATTTCTCTTCTGCTTTTCACAGCTTAATTCAACTTCCTTGCACCAAAACTTTCTTTCAACAGTTAGTGAGACCTTTGTTATTGTCTTCTCTTAATGCCTTCTGTATGACTCTTTTCCTTATGTTTTCTCCATAAAGTTATTTCTTAACTGTCCTGTTTGTAAACCTTGATCACATAATAGAGCAAACTAACTTCAGCCACAGTAGCATTGACCCAGTATCTCATATTGAGGCATTTGAGTGGAAAATAAATCCAAAGCTCTAGTATTATAAGCCAGTCAACCTCAGACAAACAACATAACCGGAGGGTCAGTTGTATGAAATCATACTCCATTCAATGTTGTCACCCAATCAGTTGTAAGTTTAACAAAGAGATAATGGAGAATGAAAAAAGTAAGATTTTGAATTCCACCTAAGTGTTCAACCACATTATTTCTATGGGTTGCTTTTATGCAGTAACTGACAGAGGTATTAGATACTTCAATGGAAGTACTTACTGGAATATCAGCTGTCTCAAGATAGCTCTCACTTATTTTCTTTCAACACCTCTGGTATTATGCTCAGATTTCAAAGTGTGGTCCCAACATATATATATAAAAATTGCATTCATCTGTTAGCAAAATATGCTATTATGAACGCAAACAAATTTTCTAGATGAGCTTCAATCTTTAGTCTGAACAACAAAAAAAAGCCTTATTGGCTTTTTTGATACATGAAATCCCAAAATTTCATCAGTTCATCAATCACTTGACTCAACAGTTTCACCACAGTAAAACTTGATGAATAAAGGCTAACATTTTGATTAACATGAAAAAGCAAAATAAAAAAACCAGTAGGCCTTTTTCAATGAAGTTATCAAATCCAAGAGAAATATTAATTATCAATTACATTTGAAAGTATTTTTCTTTCCCAAGTAGCAGAGATAACTGAGATGGAATCATGTCATCATTCATCTCCATTAAAGTCTCACAGGTCTGTATGCATGTAAATGCTGACAGGATTGGTCTATCTGCCTAATTGTCTGATTTCTTTTTTATAATTTCATGGTTAAACACTGCAGTAAAAGGTGGCAATTAAAAAGGAAGGGCTAAATTACATATTTCATTTATAGATCGGTAAAAAAATCCCTGCATTAAGTGCAGAGCTTGAATACACCATAACTGAAGTTTCTGAGTCTTCCACGCAACTGCCCTTGACAGCAAGAACCTGCCAGTACTGTGGCATATATACTCCACCATGACAAAAACACTTAACCATTTTAGTGATAGCTGTTATGGATGTCTGAACAACATGTAAGACTGCAGCAAAGCAGGAAATAGCAGAAGGTGGCTAACTGGTGATGGCAGTAGGTCAGTATTTTGAAAAATAACTTCCAAATGAAAGTACTAGACAACTGTGCATGTACACCACTTTCTGAGGCTTTTGTTATTCCTTTTAATGTTCAGTGCCAAAATGGTAGATTTCTAGACCTTTAAACTAAACATTAATGTGTAAACAATTCAGGCCACTCAATTTAGATTCATTATCTTCTGCCCCGTTCAAAATCAGTTATGACTTCAAATGATGTTCACCAATGACACAACACACAGAAAGCCAAGCAGTAAAAAAAATGACAAAAAGCATCTGTGTAACAAAATAAGTTTTCAGAATATGAAAGTAAACCTGAATATAATGCAAGTACAGAGGAGACAATTAAAGTAGAAAATAAGGGATGAAAGGTATTTTTAGTATTAATTAGCATTTTGCATGGACTGATAGCTAACAGTATGGCATAATAGAAAAG